CGTATGCCTCTGATGTATCTTGAAGAAGTTTCAAGTTTGTTTATTATGCATTTTTCTGTGAATAAATTCTCTTAAGTTTATTGGTTGTTACATGATATGTTGTGCAAAGGTTGTTTTAGCCAAAATTAGCTAAAGGGGGAGATTGTTAGGTTGTTCGCTTTATGATTGGCAGCATTTTATTAAAAACAAGTATTCTAGCGAGATATTGTATAAGATGTCGTGGCATGTTGGTGCGATACTAAAGCATATCTTGTTTCACATTCTTGGAAGATTTGTTTTTAAGCGTGAGATCTTTGAAGATTCTTTGAAGATATGATTCCAGTATATTACAGTCATAGAAGTGTGTGTTTTTAGAAGCTCAAAGTTTGGTTCCAGCTATGCAATATTTTCTAAGAATGTTGTCGAAACATTTAAGGAAAGATTATATTTGATTTTATTCTGCAGAAGATTGTGCAACAGTTGTAGTTGGATCTGCATTTAAGGAAATAATATGTTCTCTTCTAAAATATTATAGATTTGCATTTAATAATATATTCTCTTCTAGAATATTATGGATTTGCTATTTATTTTAGCCCGATTTGCTCATCAAGCCCATGTTTTTCGAAGGTTATTTATAAGAAGACTCTAAACCTAAAGAAGCAGATAGTTGCGCTTGTGATTGTGATTGCTAGGGTTTTGTTTGTTTATTGTTGTTTGTGAGCCACTATTGTATCACCTTGATACTAGGGCTGGATTGTTTTAGTTTAGTTGTATTTGTGAATCTCTCATAAGCTTTTAAGGAAGAGTAGATTTTATTTATTGGAGTATGTCTCCTTCTTGGTTATTATCTTGTTATAATGAACTGTTTGTTCTGAGCAGAAGCGGGAGGGGTCTCATATCTAAGAGAGTCTTAGATAGAAATAGCACGGGTACTGATTAGGTGCGAAGTTTGTAAAACCAGATATCATTTAGAAATTCAAACTAATACTATTACATTGGATTTCCTTCTTGGCTTGGATGCCCCCAGATGTAGGTGACGTTACACCTAACTGGGTTAATAATTGATCTGTGTTATTTACTTCTTGCAATTTTTTCAAATTGTTCATTGTTATTTCTGCTGTCATGACTTTTTGACATTGCATTCGACATTCTGGTGTCCTAACATCGTATACGAATCTGTCCTCTTAGTGCTAGAATTTCAAAACTTTTGAGAGAAAGAATAGTATACACACTAGGAAGTTTTGTTCATACACTTTCACAGAAAAAATTGTGTGTAAATATTTGCAATACATTTGTGTAATCTTCTTATTAAAGAAGCAAATTAGCAAACACATAATCCTTGTATTTAACATTTTGGTTAATTTTCTTAAGTGACTAAGTGTTAGTCAGATTACTCAAGAAGTCATTGACGGTTAGTCTTTGAGTTGTATTTCCTTGAGAGACTAGGGTATAGTCATAATTTTTCAAGAAGACATTGACAGTTTGTCTTTGTTGTTGCAATCAAGTTTGGTTATAATGAATTAAGTCCTTGTGATAAGGTGAAATCGCCTTGGCGTAAGTAGTTTAGTTAACAGCGAACCAAGATAAAAATATTTGTGTTCATTATTTTTATTCTAAGTTTTCTCCTTGTTGTTTTGGGTAGCCAAAAATTTTCATTCTAGAAACTCAATTCAAAGTCTCCATTTCTTGTGTTTCTGTTACCTTCAATACAAACACAAAGAATAAACAAGCAGCAATTAAACCTCACCCCTCGAAACCTTAATCCCCATTCTGTTTACAAATTAGAAGTGTGGAAGGAGTGAAAGGAAGCATTTAACAAGAGTGTTGCAAAAAAAACAAAATGAAAAGTTACCCAAAAGTGTCTCTGGCGGGGTTTCTGAAGTCTGGCAGACGGGACAATTTTTGGCGAACCAAGAGGTATTTTCCCTTCCTTTCTAGTTTTTTACTCTATCCTTGCTTCTTTACTCTTCTCCTACTCAAGCTTTCCTTCTATAATGTGTGTGTATATCTTTTGGAAATGTTGGGGTTCATAGCTCAACTATTTTAGAGCTTCAATATGAAGCTCTAAGTAGTTTTAGGAAGAGCTCTGAATGAGATTAGGAAGGGTGATGGTTGCAGAGAGAATTCCTTAGAATTAGGATTTTTTTTCTCTGCTCTTGAGCGAGGATTAGAGTTGTTTTTTATAGCGGTTGTGAGTGTGTGAAATCAAAATGGGATACGTGTGAGGGAGAAATGTGTGAGTAGATATTTTGTGAGTGATCATCCAACTCGTGTGAGCAAAGTGTGAGTTCATTTGATTCTTTGCAATAGGATAAGATTGAAATTAACAATGAGAGTTAGGGATGGAAGAATCTTTAATTCCGTGGGATTTAAGTCACTGGAGAGAAGAATGAAGGAACCCGTGTGTGAGCATGTGTAGAACTTTGTGTCTTTTTTGTTATTGTTGTGATAAAAGATTTTTACTAGTGTAAATTAAATTGTAATTGAGCAACTTCATTCTAATTTTTCTTGTTACTACTATAATTCTCTTGATGTAATTAGTTAACAAAACTAATGAACATTAAATTTGTGCTCAAATTACTCTGGTTACCTTATTGTAATATGATATTAAATATGATAAATAACACAAATATTCACTCGTGTCCTTTATTCAAATTTGATAAAACAAGCTGAAAAAAAATGAATTGATTCAATAAGAAAATAATGACTTTTTTTGTTGGGTTTTGTTGTGTTATTGAACTTATCAGGTTGCGAGTTGTGGAGTTGAATAGGGCTAAGTTCCCATTGTTTCTAATCAGCCCTTCCTTTTTTTTGTGTATTTTGGATTAAGCCTCAAGTTATATGCATGGAGATGGCTTGAAGGCTTAGGGGACAAACCAATGGAGCAAGGCTTTTTAGGTTTATGAATTTATACAAGTGTAGCATTTTGGTTCTAATGTTCATGAGTTCAATGTAATATTTGTGTAATTGTAGGCTTTGTACAAAATAGCAACTTTGAATATGTCATGTGTTTGTACTTTTGTAAAAGAACATACCTTCTTATTCAATTTTTAGAACAACTACTTTATGGATTCAAGTCACATTGCAATTACTTACTATTCTTAAAACAATACATGAATGGATAAATACATGAATGAAATTGAAAAGGAATGAAGACATTAATGTAATCGAAAAGGAATGAGAAATGCATGTGCATGAATTGATGAATGAGGCTTGGGTGATGAACTTCACTATTTAAAATTAAACTCATAATTTCAAATTAATACCCTAAATTTTGAGTCAATATGAATATATAATGGGATGAAGATGTCAATGAAGTAATAGAATGCATGATTTAAAGATGGAAGTGACCGGATGAATAAGTCAAACTGTTAACTTTTTTCTTTTGGTTTTTATATATATTGTTTTTTTTTATTTTGATTATTGAATGCATATGAGATTTAATGATCAAATAAAATGGTCATATTATGATAATGCATATGAATTAGATGTAGTTAATAGGAAAATTTTTGGGGTAAAATTTAGAGCATGACAACTTACAACTATTATGGTGGATAGACTCTAACTATGCAAGAGATGAAGATAATAGGAAAATCACTTCAGGTTATGTGTTTAAGATAGGCTCTAAAGCAAGTTTATGGTACTCAAATAAGCAACTAATTGTCACCTTGTCAACAACTAAAGCATAGTTTATAGTTGCATCCTTATGTGTTTGTCAAGGAGTATAGCTGAGAAATGTGTTGGCACACTCAAAAATACCTCAAAAGAAAAGCTCAATCATTTTCGATGAAAATAGTTCCTCAATCAAGCCATCAAAAAATCATATCATGCATGAAAGGTGTAAGTACATAGATGTCAGATTTCATTTTCTCAGAAACCTAACCAATGATGGAGTTGTAGTGTTGAAACATTGCAGCACTCATGAACGACTGGCAAACATCCTTCCAAAGCCATTGAAACTCGAGTCATCTGTCAAATTAAGAGAGGGCTTGGGAATGAAAGAATTATCATGTATTACTTGATTTCTTGTAAAAGAAGTCCGAGTAAGGGAGATTTGTAGTGTATAGTTTGTTGTGATTGGTTATAAGTCCGTTGTATATTTTGCTTTGTATTAATTGCAAATTATTTGTTGTTTAAGTAATGATGAAAACTCCATGCATAAGTTGTATATAAGACTATGTCTAATAGTTAATAAAAGAATACATAGATTCAGCACAGATATATTCAGGCGTTCATTTTTCAGGGACAACGGGAACCAACGTAGTAATTCGGCGTATCTGGAATTTTCTAATGAGCAGGAATTCTGAGCTGTGCGATTTGGAGGCTTGCTAGCTGGCAGTTCTCATGGAATGACAATCACGCCACTCTTGGTTGACTGTGCTCATAGAGAGATAGGAGAATTTACAATATTTGTAATTTAAAAGTTCTAATGACAACAATTGTGATTTTTCTGTTTTGAGTTGAATTATTTGGTCTGTTAGTTGCTTATTGTTTGTTATAGGGTCTGTTAGATGGGATCATAGACCGCTCTTTGTACCGTATGATTTATTTATCCTTTCATGTCGTGGCATGCCTTATGCCTTGATATAACAATTAGGATATATTCTTCCTTTGCCTTTTAAAAAAAGATTATATTTTTTTAGAAAAACAACATTTAATAATTGTGTAGGAATTAAAATTTTATTTAACGTAGTCTTAAATTAAGCTTAAACTGATATTACAGGCCTAATTTTTTACATTAACCTTCTAATCTTTTAAACAAATTGAAACAGAACTGCACAAGATGCATACACGTGGCTAGTAAGTACCCTACTCGAAACCATTTAGAGAACAAGTCACCCTAATTTCAGATCCATCCTTTCGTTTCAAAAAATCACGATCGGATCTGAACTTGAAACTGGGAGCGTAGTTACGGTAACGGAGACCAGTAAGAGAGGAGGAAAGAAATGGATCAACATATGAACCGTGTAACGGGCTCGACCCGATTCAAAACCCGAAATCGCAACCCGTTTTGGTGTGGATCAATCAAGTCGAAGCAGACGCCTTAGATCTCGCGTCGCAGAGTCATCAACCGTCGCTGACAACTGCTTCTTCATCAGAAAAGATGGAAGAGGAAGCGCGCTCGGTGACGGAGACACCGAGAATGCAGATCCAGCATACTTGTCGCTCTTCACCGCTTCCAGCGAGGAATCCAGAGATTTACCCCTACGGAGGATCGTCACCTTTTCCCTGCTCTTCCCAGTTACTGAATCATCAGCGCTTGATCTCTTCGAGACCAAAGCAGTATCCCGTTTCTTTAGGTATGGTCGAGTAACCGGCTTCCGGTAAGACCTAGAAGTCACTGCACGGTTGTTGTAGCCGTAGTGGTTGCTCCGGTGGGAAAACGACGCCGGAGTAGGTATGAAAAAATATTCCTGAGGGTGCAAAACCTGAGTTCCCATGGCGGTTTGGGTAAGTTGGTATTGTAATACTAATACTGAAACGCTACAAATATAAAACAAACAACAAAAAGTTGGTAGAAGTAGAAGATGAAGAAGAGAAAAGAAGAGGTTATTTATATTTTATTTAATAATCTGGAAATGGGTAAGGGTTGATTATATAGGAAACGATGAAGATAAAACAAGTGGGGTTTGTACCGTCCTTGCCATAATAATAAACTAAAATGACGCGTCACGAAATAAAATAAAATAAAGTGTAGTAATAGATTAAGATAGAGAAATGGCACCTCATTTCTGACTCCACAAGGGAAGTGGTTGTTGTTGGCTGACCGGACTGGGTCTCTGTTTGTTTCGTGGATGGGGTCATGCGGGGCCCACTATAGGTTTGAAGTGCTGATATTTTCATGCCGAACCGACTCGTTTTGCTTCGGGAGGTAGCACCTGAGTTAAAGCACTGACGTCGGTAGAGTATCTTTGGTTGATGAAAGAAAGTTCAAGGAAAGAAGGGAAAATAAGAGGAAATGATTTTGCTTTACGTGTCAGTTGATAATTAGTACTAATAATTAATTGTATTTTACTATTTATAAATAGAGATGTCAATGGTGAGGACGCATCCTTCTCATCTCGGATCTTGAATGAAGAATTTTTGTTCTCCATCCCCTTCATAAGAATCTCTTGAATCCAAGATCCATAAGGACAGTATATAATGTATATATTATAAATAAATTAATAAATAAATAATTCAAAAAAATTTACAGTAAATTTATTGTTTTAAAATATTTAATTTATGTTATAAGAGTCATAACTATCAAATTTTTACACTTCAAAAAATTTAAAATAATTATTTTATATTAATGTTACATATATATTTTAACTTTTTTACAAAATAAACTATATAAGTCAATCTTAGTTTCTCATCTTCATTTTGATAGAGATATTTTACTCTCATTCTCGTCTCTATAGAAGAAAGTTTTCTATTTTAAAATTTTTTAATACTATTCATGCAAAAATTACCACTAACTTATATTTCTTTCGTTCTTTAATATAAGTCAATGTTAGTTTTTTTAGCGTCATTAAAAACATAGATGTATTTGATCTATATATAAATCGATTATATTAATTATTCAGTAAATTTAAAAGTTAAGATTTATTTATAATACAAATAGGAGTATAAATTAATATTTGTGTTCTTGGTCACAACCCTGATCGACCGCTAGAAAACCTTCACTTCTTCCAAAACCTTGTCAACTTACGATAATCACCATGTTCGCTAGCACATTAGATCAAAGTCTCATATGCATCCAACGAGCATCTGCAATTCACTTCTAATTAATAGCAAGTTAGTTAATCTCTTTTTACTATATATGGAGAAGGCTCCAATTTCAAATAACAAATTTCAGAGACAATTTGAAATCACTATTCTTTCTCACATATTGACTTGAGTGTTTGTGTGCTAATCTTGTAGATCAATCATCTTTCCATCATGCCGAAAGCTCATAACCACCATTACTTTCGACCCTCGCTCTATTTATGGTTCTCAAATGGAACAGTGGTATCATCTGTGTGAATCAACTTCTAATTCCTACGTTTTCCACAATTCTACAATCGTTCTCCAATTCACTAGTTCGTAACCTTCTCAGGTCACCGAACCAAGAGCTTCTGACATCGAACGTGAAGATTCACCACATTCGATATGATCAAGCATCGCTTCAACTCTGATTTCCTAAATTCTTATATTTCTGACTCCTACATTCTTAAGTGATGGTTGGATCTAAAGTCATTCGCTCTGCCGCATCGTGAAAAGCCACGGTTGTAGTCATAGTTATGTAAGTTCAGAGTACGCCTAAGAGGGGGTGAATTAGGCTTTTAGAAACTTTTTTTTCGGTTTTTCGGCTTTCTTGAATTTTACTTTGGTTATGATTGTTGTGATGAAAGCGGTAAATGCAGAATGTAAAAGGACACAGAGAATTATAGTGGTTCCCCTCACAATCCGAGAGTACTTCACTCCCCTTTCAACATGAAAGAGAGTTTTACTAGTTTTAGAATGTACAACCTATCACACCATCAACCGGTGAGGCCTACTTTCTAACAACTATACAATCACAAGTGTGCAAGAACAATCCTCCTGCAGACACTTACCTTGTGTCCAACAATCCTGGATCATAAGTCACAACACAGACAATTCTGTAATTCTTGTTTTTGAGAGTAATGAGTAATAATATCAATACACAGATTGATCTTCTCCTTTAATCAGAATTCACTTCTTTAATGTCAATACAAGTGTTCAAATTTCTGGATATGAAATAGTATGAACAAGATGAACACTTTTTGAAAATATTTGAAAATATTTGAATTGAGTGAATTTGATTTAATGATAGTTTTTGAAAATTGTAGGAGGTGTTTTTCAATTTGAAATTTTCATAATTTAAATGAGTCAAAACACCTATTCAAAAAGGTTTAATTGAGTATAGAACAAACAATGAAAAGGTATAACTTTAACATGAATTTTGAACTTTGAAATAAGCAATTTTTCAAAATTCGTTCAGTGCTAATCAGTTAACCCTATAGGTTAATCGGTTAACACGTGAACGTTGGCCCAAAGAACATAAGTTTTGAAACCGTTAACCGGTTAACCTATATGGTTAATCGGTTAACACTGTTAATTTTCAGAAAAATACTTCATAAAAAAATGTTATACCAATTTCAAATGTTTTAAAACTATGCACATGCAATATGATAAAATGTTAGACTTTTTGAACACTTGTATATCAATTAACTTAGTGAATTTTGATATACCTAAGCTTGCGTCCAAGTCTTGAAAGATGTACGATCAATTGCATATGAAGCTTGATGTCCATTCCTTTGCATGGCCTTTGATCTTGATCGTTTGAAAGCTTTAACTTTTTGCACATATGAACTGAGCTTGAGTCTTGTTGTTGACATCATCAAAACATTGAATTTGAAGTGTGCTTCTACATTCTCCCCCTTTTTTATGATGACAAATAATTGATTTTTGTGCCATTTTGTGCGATATCTTTGACGATGTTTGGTCTAGGCTTGAATCTTGTTTCTCCCCCTATGTGCAGCAACTCCCCCTATCTAAACAGAGGCAAAATTTCTGCACAGAGAGATATTAGACAACCAAAGCTCTTCTCCCCCTTTGTCATTAGCAAAAAGGAAGGAGCTTTCAAACCAAAATAATAGATATCGACAAAAATGCAAGCATTCAAATAAACACGCAAATAGGCAAGCAAAGCATACTGGTTGTAAATTAAAGTGCAGCAAATAAGAGTGCGTCAAGCATTGTACGGTTACAAAAGAAAGTACTAAAAAAAACTTAAACATAATGACTAAAAACAAAGAACAGAAATAGCAACAAAACATATTCTTTAAGCATCCTCATCAGGCATATCCTCATCTTCTGCTTCTTCTTCTTCATCACCTTCCGCTTCTTCATTCTCTTCTTCCACAATTCTGGTGGTTGAAAGCTGAGGGTTAAGGATAAGGTTTTGAAGTGAAGCAATGGCTCTGGAGGTCTCGCGGTGCATATCCATGGATTCTCTATGCTGGTTCATCATTGTTGTATAGAGAAACTCACTTGTTAGACCTCCTTCGAGGATAGGATAAGCTTGATTGGAGGGTCCGTCTTCTGCATACTTATATGTGCCGTTGACATCCTTGATTATTCTGGTATTCTTCACGATGGTAATTTCGTTGATTTCATTGGTAGTTGGCTTCATCTTCATGGATGGTTCTCGGTTAAGGTCTAATTCCGTCAACTCCAAAATTCTAGAAATCAGTCTTGAATATTGAAGTCGAGTTGATAGAGAAAGCTGCTGCTGAAGATGGTACATGATTGTCAAAATCCAGTTCACTTTGATTTTGTTCTTGATTGCGAATAGAAGTTGCATTTCCAAATCATTTATTTGTGAATGATTGGAATCCTTCGGAATAAGAAGTAGCAGATCACATAATGCAACATTCGGTCAGATACCGTCAAATTCTTTGCATAACACGGCATGCGAGCAGTTTGAGAATTTGCGATGACCGTTTCTTTCGGGAACCTGCAGATTTGATAATAGTACTCCATCTTGTCATAGTTAGCCCACTGCCCATCGACATGGTTAACACCTTTCCTCAAGAAACAACCCTTGGAAGGTATGTCTAAGGAACTAGCAATGGTGGACAGCTTCTCCACAAATTCACAGTTTCTAACCACAGAGCTTATCATATGATTCTCATCAATATCAAGATAAACAGCAAATTTATTCATGAATGCTTTAACCAAATCAGGATGAATTATACCAGAATCTGAAACAAACTTATATATGCGTTGATACTTCAGAAGTGCAGGGAAATCAAAAGATGGTGCCAGAAAAGCTCTAAGATTGGCATACTTTACTGGTAGAAGGTGTCGGACACGAACCTTGAAATCCATACGTCGTTTCTTGGTTGTTTCCATAGGAGTGCTATCTTCTTCAGAAGCAGAAGCATATTCTGGAAGCTTTCCCTTTCCTTTGTGTGATGATGCCATTGATGAAGTTTGAGAGAAGCATATTCTGGAAGCTTTCCCTTTCCTTTGTGTGATGATGCCATTGATGAAGTTTGAGAGATTCTGAGGGTTTGGAGGTGCTGAGTTTTTAGGGTTTGAGATGCTGAGAGAGAGATGAAGTGAAACCACAATATATAGGAGGGAGTTTGTAGTGGGTTTTAAAGGTTTAGGGTTTTGAAGTCCAAATTCCAAAATGTAGTCAAAGAAGAAGAGTTCCAAGGATATGAATTTGGACACTTAAGAGAATATTGACCATATAAAAATGCATTTAACACATACAATGTTTCAAAAATTCTAATTAATTTTCGTTTCTGATTTTTAGAAATTTGAACAGTGTTAATCGGTTAACACATTAAAAAATTGAGTCAGAATTGAAAATTTAACAGTGTTAATCGGTTAACACACGGGAATTTTGGAAAAATTATGAAAAACAGAATGCAAACATAATTGA